AAGTTACCAAACCCCAAATAAGAAAAATTAGAATTGTAACACTGCTTGAATAGAAGTTACCAAATCCCAAATAAGAAAAAATTAGAATTGTAACACTGCTTGAATAGAAGTTACCAAACCCCAAATGTTTATCTTAGTTGCTGTTTTTAATAATTAGAAAACAGGTATATGATCATAGACTGGGCAGGTGTTCACTGTCTCCAAATCCAAGATAATTCAGAAATTGTAACAAGTCATTATTTGATGTGATGATTCAAAAGAGAAACTGTAACAGGTCATTATTTGATGTGGTTTTTATTGTAAAACATGTTTAATGACCACACTCATTTCCAAATCACTCACTTGCATTTAAATCTCACACATGAAGCCAGATCATGAGCCATGGCCAGGGTTATGGCAGGGGGAGAACTGAAATCCTACAGAACCCCAAATCCTGCTCCACATCCTGCCTTCCTTGTGAGGGAGAACTTCCCTACACCCCAAACCCCACTCCTGTGCCTAACAGGGTACATGGTAACATCCTGAAATTCCATCATTTAAGAAGCTTTGTTAGACAACTCTTCCCAGAGAGGCTCATCCAGAAGACAACCACAGCTCCAACACCATTTGCTACAGGAAGTTTTTGCTGGATTAAGGACTTTGGTGGACAAACGCAGCACAAAACCAAAATAACAAAACTTAATGGCAAATCTAATCTTTGACAGGCTGCAATAGCATGTAATGCTACAACTAAGAAAGGAAAGCATAAATTCTGGGATGGCAGCAAAAACTTGGTGAGGCAAGAAACAATCTTGGGTAGAAATACCAATGTGGGAAGCAAAAATTAAGAGCGAAGCATCACAGCAAGTTCTTACACAGATGTTACACCTGTGTGCTTGATACTCACAGCAACAGTTCCTTTATCAGTTAAACAGTTTAACAGTTTAACTGACAGTTAAACAGTTTTAACAGTTAAAGTTTAACAGTTCTAAATTGTCACCTCCTGCTGACTCAGCTGTTGTCAGTTTGAGGAAAGTCAAGGCTGAACATCTGGAAGTGATATTTTAACTGCTGCTGGAATGTCACAGACATTTTTTCATAGAAATCCTTTCTTTGGGATTTGTTCATCTTCTGGGAAGCTGAGGCCCCAGAAGAAGAATGTAAACAATTGTTATCGGCTGCTGTGAAATGTAGCAGGTGCCCCTGTGATTGGCTCATGTTCCGTGTTTACAATCAAAGGCCAATCACAGGAGCAAGCTCAGGGACAGATTCCCTGGACACAGAACTTTGTTATTCATTCTTTTCTATTCTATTCTTAGCTTAGCAGCCTCTAAAACTTCTCTCTTTGTTCCTTTTGATATAGTTATAATGTATTATATATCATATATCAATAAATCTAGCCTTCTGATCATCAAACAAGATTCTCGTCCTTCTCTCACCCTGCAGACTTCATCATGTTGTAATACCGGGATCTTTGCTGAGCACACCCTGAAGCTCAGACAATTCTATTTGAGCTGCCTCCCAAGAAGCTGACCTTAGGCAATTTTCCTATAAAGCAACAAGCAAAAGAGCCAGAAGATCATCACTGCACTCCCATTCCATGAGAAGCTCCCTGCTCTCTTTCAGTGTGAAGCTGTTCCCCCTTGGAATGCCCAGTTAGGCCACCCCAAAGCTTCTCCTGTGCAGGTGAGCAATGCCAGCTGTGCCAGCCTTTCCTGCCAGCAGAGCTGCTCCATCCCTCTGCCCATCCTGGAGCCTCCTCTGGGCTCTCTGCAGCAGCTCCAGCTCCTCCCTGCGCTGGGGCAGCTCTGCAGCTGGGGAATCACCTGTGGGGCACAGGGACACAATCCCCTCCATAAAACCACCAGCCAGACTTGTGATTTGCTCTGTCTGGAGCACATTCTGATTCTGCAAAAATTTATCCTTCCACCTTGAAACTGCTGCGTCTGTCTCACTTTCCCTGCCTTTCTGCCCGCTGGGAGGTGAAAGGGTTAAACTCTTGCCCAGCACAGCAGGATTTGAGTGGTTTAGAGGTGACTGAATGGCCAGAGAAAGTTCAACACAGCAAAGCCCATCCAGGGACAATGAAGGTGCTTTTCCATCAGCTGGAATCCCTGAGCAGAGAGTGCACAGAACAGGGCAGGGGGTGGAGAAGAGAGAACACAGCAGCTCCCTGAGGCACAGGGAGCCATTCCCGATGGAGACGGGCACTGAGGCAATGAACCCAGCCCAGCCCACTGCCCTGTGTGCCTCAGCACTTCCACGTGGTGCAAACACAACCCTCAGGGAGGCATGTTTACAGAATCATGGAATTGTTACAGCTGGCACAGCCCTGCCAGCCCACGGAGTGCCAGCTGTGCCCCATGGCCACGGAGCACTCAGTGCCACCTCCAGGGCACACCTGCAGGGATGGGCACTGCAAAGCTCCCTGGGCAGCCCCTGCCAAGGCCTGAGCTCCCTTTCCATGGGCAAATTGCTGCTGCTGTCCCAGCTGAGCCTGCCCTGGCACATTGCTCTCACACCATCCTTAAGATGGGAAGTTGCCCAAGAAAAATGCAGCATGGCACTGGCACAGAGTGTTGGATGCACCCCCTGCCCTCTCCACAGAACACAGGAGCACTTCCCACCTTTAAAAGCGATACCAGCATTGTTCACGTTGATCCCTCCATACTTCTCCTTGAGGAAGTCCAGGCCCTCCTTGGGCACCTCCAGGGATGGATGGGCACTGCAAAGCTCCCTGGGCAGCCCCTGCCAAGGCCTGAGCTCCCTTTCCATGGGCAAATTCCTCCTGGTGTCCAACCTGACCCTCCCCTGGCACACTGTTCTCACACCATCCTTAAGAGGGGAAGTTTGCCCAAGCAGAAATGCAGCAGAAGCGTTGGGTGCACCCCCTGCCCTCTGCACAGAGGCACCCCAGGAGAGCAGTGCCCACCTTTGAAGGCGATGCCGGCGTTGTTCACCAGCACGTTGATCCCTCCGTACTTGTCCCTGAGGAAGTCGCGCAGCGCTCGGATGCTCTGCAGGTCATCGATGTCCAGCTGGTGGAAGAGCGGGCGCAGCCCCTCCTGCTGGAGCTGTGCCACGGCGGCCTGGCCGCGCCCGGGGTCCCGGGACGTCAGGTACACGTCCCCCGGGAACTGGCGGCACAGCGCCCGCACGATGGCCAGCCCGATGCCCTTGTTGGAGCCCGTCACCACAGCCACCGGCACGTTGGACATTGTCCCCTGGGAACGGGAGCCAAGGGCACGGGAACTGCCAGCAGCAAGGGAAGGTCAGTCAGGCACACAAAATGGCTGCCTGGAAAGGAATTAGAAACATGGGATGGTTTGGGTTGGAAGGCACTGTGGAAACCCAGGGCACTTTCTCTGTCTGCTCTGGGGTGCACTGATTCTGACCCTCATCCATGGAGAAAGTCTCCTAAACTCCAGAATAGACTGGAATCCACCAAACTGTGAAACAGATTATAGAGAGCAGTGTGGGTGCATCACTTGGTGAGAAATTGAGGTTTTGGGGTTTTTAGTCTGTTGTGGATGGAGGCAAGATGGAGGGCACAGGGTGTTGTCCTGGGTTTGTTCTTCATGCTTCTTCCTCCTCCTTCTCCAAGGGTTTGGGTGGCATTTTGTAATTGGGCAGAAAAGTCCCCATTGCAGCTCTTTGGGATCAGTTACTGGGTTAAAAGGGAAAATAATCCAGGTGCCAGTTCTTAATTGGACAGTTTAGTCATAAAAGAACTTGGAACAAGAGACTGTTGGCCATTTTGTGCGTTCTAATGAAAAGCTGCAGAACTCACAGTAGTAAGACTGTTTTACTGATAACAAATAATAAACTCTTAAATCCAAACATGAAACACCATTTTGAGTGCCTTCAATCCAAACCCAGAGAAACCAAAAACTAAAACTCTCACAACCTTAAAGATTATCTCATTGCCATGGACACCTTCCACTATCGCAGGTCACTCCCATCCAGCCTGGCCTGGAACATTTTCAGCAGTGTGGAGCCTCCCTAGGTAAGTGTTTTTTCTTTAAAATATTATTTACAATTCCACCTCGGATTATGTGAAACTACATTTCTGTGCAAGCCGTGTAAATCCCTAAGGCAACACGAGGTATTCACAGAGATATCTGGTGTTAAGTGTTCTGAAGAAAAGCCAACCAGTGATGGGCAAAAAGAAGAAATGTCTCGACTAAAAATTACCAGTGACTAATTCTTCATACTGAATTACCTTTTTGTAGGAGTAAGCTCTTCTGCACTTACACCTCACAGAAAGACTTTCCGCGTTTTGGGAATATTCAATTGGGTCAGCTCAAGTTGTGCTGAAAACTTCAGGCTCCAAACCTGAGCAACCTGGTTTAGTGCAAGGCATCCCTGTCCACGGCAAGGGCTGGAACTGGATGATCTTTAAGGTCCCAAACAATATTTAAAAAAGGATGGGGTATCTTTATTTTCCAGTGCCAGGCAGGAGGAACACTTACAGCCTTTTCCGGAAAAAACAGCAGAGCACAGGCTGACTACAATGGCTGGTTGCGTTAACACAGTATCCGAAACCTGCTTACTGCTTTTCTAACCGATACAGTGCATTTAAAGAACTGCATTTCCCCCACAAAAACAAATTTAAACGCTGGCTTTTCACATCATTATCATCTCTTTCTTCCTAATTTACTTGTAACCCTAAGCAGGCCTCCAGCGAATATACAACAGTCCAAAAAACTCCAGAGTGACGCCCCAGGGCCAGGAACGCCATTCTCCCCTCACCGCAAGTCTCCCTCTGTCCCCCCTTGTCCCGTCCCCCTCACGGGAGGGAACCCGCGCGCCGCCATCAACCCCGACGCCCTCAGGGGGGACACGGGGGTGAAGCGTCCGATGGAGGGGACACCCAGCACCCCATCACCCACCTCCAGCACCGCGAGAGCCTCTCCCTCGTCCCTCAGCTCCACACAGAGAGAACAGAGCACGTTATATCCAAAGTACAGACACCCACACACCGCGGAGAAAGGAGAAGGGGACGCCCCTAAGATGGCGGGGCAGCTCCGCCTCAGGGGCGGGAGAGCGGGTGGGCGCTCGCGCAGAGGGACAGCGAGGGAATGTCGGTGCTTGTGTCCCCTTTGCAGGTGGGTTTGGGATACCGGGGAGCAATTCCAGCCCGGGAGAGACTCGGGAATCACAGTCTGGGCAGGCAGGGGAGGACGCGCTTGGGGCTCCCGGGGCAGTGCGTGGAGCACGGGCGGTCGCTCAGGAAGTTCCGCTCCCGCAGCGCTGCCGGGGCCCGTTCTGTCTCTCCCAGCCCGGGGGTTTGTGCCGAGCGGGGAATGGAGGTTGGTTAGCACGGGATTCCCAGTTCTGGGGTGGGATGGGGTGATAAGGGGTTGGATTTGATGTTGTTGGTCTCTGAGGATTTTCAGCCCAAAGGAACGGGATGTGACGGAGGGCCGGCCTCTGGGAGCCCGAGCGCCTGTGGTTGCTCCCGGCTCCCTGCGGCCCTCTGTCCTGGCAGGGAAAAGCTGCGCTTCGAGCTTCAGTTCAGGGCAATTTTAGCAAAAGGAAAGAGATCAGGGCAAGGTTCTTCCCCCAGAGGGTGCTGGCACTGCCCAGGCTGCCCAGGGAATGGGCACGGCCCCGAGGCTGCCACAGCTCCAGGAGCCTTTGGCCAGCGCTGCCAGGGATGCCCAGGCTGGGCTTGGTGGGGTCTGGGCAGGGCAGGGCTGGCACTGGGGCATCCTTGTCAACTCAGAATATTCCATAAATCCATGAAATATAATCCCATCCCATCCCATCCTGTGCCATGACAGGGACACCTCCCACTGTCCCAGGTGCTCCCAGCCCCAGTGTCCAGCCTGGCCTTGGGCACTGCCAGGGATCCAGGGGCAGCCCCAGCTGCTCTGGGCACCCTGTGCCAGGGCCTGCCCACCCTCACAGTAATAAATTCGACTTTAAATGTTTCTAAATCAGTTATTTTTAATTTTTTTTTAATTCAGGTTGTCTAAAAAAGGCAAAATCTGTTGCTTAATATGAAGAAAAGCAGAGGTCGGACAGGTCGAAAGAGAAGAAGAAAACACTTGAAGAGTTTTATGAATGGAGGTATCATCATACCTGGAAGTTAAATAAGAAAATAACCAATTGTTCCTCAAGGTGTCACTTTATTATTTATATTTTCAAAAGCCTTTGTGCTTGGAAAATTACATTCATAAATGTTACCTTTTTTTTTTATATGCAAATATCTGAGTGTTAGTTTACAGTCCCAAGCAGAGCAAGGTGAATTTTCTGAGCTCACTTTTCTGCCTAATGGCAAATATTACATTATTCTAAAATTCCTTGGATATGCTGAATAACTCACACATTTCTGAGACCTCCCAGTGCCCACAGACCCCACATTTATTTAGTTCAATTCTTTCTTGCCATTTTGTTGTGCTTTAAAATGTCCAAAATACAGTTTCTCTGACTATACAGTAAAATGTTTATATTTCCTTTGTTGTCCAACAGAATGCTCTTTAACAGCATTAATTTATTTTTCTGTTTTTAGTGAACTGTAGTCACAAGCTGGAATACATTAAACTTAAGAAGTGGCTAAAAGAGAGAGGATTTGAAGACAGTAATTTAAGGCCAGCAGAGTTCTGGGGTAATGCTTTAATTATTTCTTGATGGTACAAATTTCTGAATCTTCTAAGGATTTTAGATTCCAGCTTTCATTTTGAATTATGATCCTGTCTGGCATCAGGGAAAAAGAAAAAAGATACTGATACTCTTCCAAGGATTCTTGGAATGTCAATTTAATATGAAAAAATAGATATGGAGGCCTGAAAAAGCCAAAATTTGAAGTGTTAACAAAACAGTTTTTGGAATTTAACCTTGTTATAGCTTGTTTATCTTTTTATCCCCAAGCAAGTTCATCAGAGAGCTGAGGTTCCCTTAGTAATCTTTACAGTAAAGATTTATACTTATATTTTTTCTCTCGCTGTAGGTTTTATTTTAAGTATTTTGTAATATTAGAGGAGAAAGAACAGAATGGATCAGAGAAAAATATTGTGACAAGAAATGCTAAAGTTCAGTTCAAACTCTGAAGCCAAGAGCTGCAGCTGGTGATGAAAGATTTGTGTGAGGAAAAAATGGAGACAAAGAAGGGGAGTAATTGCTATGAGTGGGAGAAAAAAAAGCTGAACAATTGCTAGAATTAGAGAGCAAATGCTGCAGGATATGCAGGGAAAAGATCCTGAAAAATAAAGGAAATTGGAGAAAAATAAATGAGGTATATCTGGAACAGTCCATAATTGAATTTATGTTTTGTTTCACATGCTGCCTGTTCTTTTAGAGCTTTTCCTTGCTGCCCTGATCCCTGATTTTCCATATCTGCATTTATTTACTCCTGCTCTTTGTTCCTTCTTCAGGGACAGGCAGGGGATTGATGACAACCAAAGCTCTCCAGGTGAGTGATGCTGTTTGTAATGCAGGAGCCCTTCAGGTTTTTACATTTAATGATTTTTGCAACAAGCAAAGCTCAGAAATCCCTTGTGAATGTAATTTCTGACTTTTGGACTGTGGCAGCCAGAATGTGACCCCACCAGTCCCCACAGTAATGAAATGAGTCTTTCCACTGGATTTTTACTGGGTTTTGTGTGTAATTTCTTTCCCCCTCCCTCCAAGGCAGGAGATGTGATTATTTCACTGCCTGAGAAGTGTTTGCTCACCACCAGCACCGTGCTCAGCAGCTGCCTGGGAGGGCACATTGAGAGGTAAGTGACAAGTGACACTTGGTGGCCTTCAGTGGGGATTTCAGCAGGAATGGACCCTCTGAAGGGGTGGTGGAGCTTTAAAGTGAATATCCTGAGGGGGGCCAGCATTGCAGGGTGTGGAATGCTCAGACAGGGAAAAGTTTTGTTATATACTGAACATCTGATAAATAGCATCTGATAAAAACTGGGCATCTGATAAATCCTGGGCATCTGATAAATACTGGGCATCTGATAAATCCTGAACATCTGCTAAATCCTGAGCATCTGATAAATCCTGAACATCTGATAAATACTGAACATCTGATAAATGCTGAACATCTGATAAATGATGAGCATCTGATAAATCCTGAACATCTGCTAAATCCTGAACATCTGCTAAATCCTGAACATCTGATAAATCCTGAACATCTGATAAATGCTGGGCATCTGATAAATCCTGAGCATCTGATAAATGCTGGGCATCTGATAAATCCTGAGCATCTGATAAATCCTGAGCATTTGCTAAACACTGAACATCTGGTAAATCCTGAGCATCTGATAAATCCTGAGCATCTGATAAATGCTGAGCATCTGATAAATCCTGAACATCTGATAAATGATGAGCATTTGATAAATCCTGAACATCTGATAAATACTGAACATCTGATAAATGCTGAACATCTGATAAATGATGAGCATCTGATAAATCCTGAACATCTGATAAATCCTGAACATCTGCTAAATCCTGAGCATCTGATAAATCCTGAACATCTGATAAATGCTGGGCATCTGATAAATCCTGAAACATCTGATAAATCCTGAACATCTGATAAATGCTGGACATCTGATAAATCCTGAACATCTGATAAATGCTGGGCATCTGATAAATCCTGAACATCTGATAAATCCTGAGCATTTGCTAAACACTGAACATCTGGTAAATCCTGAGCATCTGATAAATGCTGAGCATCTGATAAATCCTGAGCATCCCCTTTTAGCTTGGCACAGCTGGAGAGGGCACAGGCTGCAGCTGGAGCTGCCTCAGAGCCTGCCTGGCCCTAAATGCCAATTAGGAATGGGTTTTTTGGGAATTTGGGAGTCGGCTTCAATAGGAAAAGGAAGATAAAGCTGGGCTGCAGAGCCAGGGCCTTTGAGAAAGTTCGGAACAAATTGGAAATTTGGAAAATTTGGAATATACAATACTTGTGTCTCCTGAGAAAAGCCAGCCCGAGGGGTGAACCTGGAATTGTCATTAAATCCAGCTTTTATTGCCCCTTGGAAATCAGCCACAGCGCTTGGAGATGAACTCCAGAGAAGTTTTAAATAGAAACTGTTTGCAACTTCAGAGAGCTCTGAGAGAGGGAAAACTGCCGTGTCCCTTTCCCATCTCACCTCTGCGGGTCTGCTGCATTGGTATTTTTATTATTATTTTATCTCTATTTTTATTTTTTATTTTTTTATTTTTATTTTTTATTTTATTTTTTACTTTTATTTTTTACTTTTTAATTTTTATTTTACTTTATTTTATTTTTACTTTTTACTTTTATTAATTTTTCTTTCTATTTTATTTTTCTTTCTTTTTTCTTTTAAATTTTTATTCCTATTTTATTTCTACTTTTATTTATTTTAATTTTAATTTTAATTTTAATTTGTATTTTAATTTTTATTTTTACTTTTATTTTAATTTTTTTAACATTTTCCCTTCTATTTGGTTTTTAATTTTACTTTATTTTTTTATTTCGATTTTATTTCTATTTTATTTTTACTTTTATTTTATTTTTATTTTTATTTTATTTTATTTTTATTTTTAGTTTTTAGTTTTGTTTTTATTTTTATTTTTACTTTTTATTTTTATTTTTAATTTTTATTTTATTTCTATTTTATTTTTATTTTACCTTTATTTTTTTTTACTTTTTAATTTTATCTTTTATTTCTATTTTTTAAAAATTTCTATTTTAATTTAAATTGTATTTTTATTGTATATTTAATTTTTATTGTATATTGTAATTTTGGTATATATATTTATTGTATATTTAATTTGTATTGTATATTGTAATTTTCATATATATATTTATTGTATATTTAATTTTTATTGTATATTGTAATTTTTGTATGTATATTTATTGTATATTTAATTTTTATTGTATATTTAATTTTCATATATATTTATTGTATATTTAATTTTTATTGTATATTTAATTTTTGTATGTATATTTATTGTATATTTAGTTTTTATTGTGTATTGTAATTTTTGTATGTATATTTATTGTATATTTAATTTTTATTGTATATTTAATTTTTGTATATATATTTATTGTATATTTAATTTTTATTGTATATTTAATTTTCGTATATATATTTATTGTATATTTAACTTTTATTGTATATTTAATTTTTGTATGTATATTTATTGTATATTTAATTTTTATTGTATATTTAATTTTCGTATATATATTTATTGTATATTTAATTTTTATTGTATATTTAATTTTCGTATATATATTTATTGTATATTTAACTTTTATTGTATATTTAATTTTTGTATGTATATTTATTGTATATTTAATTTTTATTGTATATTTAATTTTCATATATATTTATTGTATATTTAATTTTTATTGTATATTTAATTTTCATATATACATTTATTGTATATTTAATTTTTATTGTATATTTAATTTTCATATATATTTATTGTATATTTAATTTTTATTGTATATTTAATTTTTGTATACATTTATTGTATATTTAATTTTTATTGTATGTTTAATTTTTATTGTATGTTTATTCCCCACTAGCTGGAAGCCGCCTGTGTCCCCCGTGCTGGCCCTGTGCACGTTTCTGATGGCAGAGAAACACGCTGGGGCCAGATCTCCATGGAAGCCCTACCTGGATGTTCTGCCCCAGACTTACACCTGCCCTGCCTGCCTGGAGCCTGCTGTCATCGATCTCCTCCCAAACCCCTTGAAAAAGAAAGCTCAGGAGCAGAAAGTGATGATCCAAGAGCTGTTCAGATCTTCCAGAGCTTTCTTCTCTTCCCTGCAGCCTCTGTTTGCTGAGAGCACGGGGAGGATTTTTAATTTCCGTGCTTTGGAGTGGGCTTGGTGCACTGTAAATACCAGGACAATCTACATGGAACGTCCCCGCAGGGACTGTTTCTCCCTGGAGCCAGATGTTTATGCACTGGCACCATATTTGGATTTGCTAAACCACAGCCCAAATGTTCAGGTGAGAAGCTCAAAATAGAGCAGTAAATTTCTTTATTTTTATGAAGTGCACTCTGTCAATGGCCTCTGCATTGATGTGGTGGATGAGGAGTGGGGAGGGCAGGGATGGATCTCACAGGGGGAGAAATGGCTCAGCTGCTCAGGGACTGCAGTGCCAGCACACAGGGAATGGATTCGGACTGCCAGAGGGAAAAAATCCTGTCCTGGCAGGGTGGGCAGGGCTGGCATGGAATTCCCAGAGCAGCTGGGGCTGCCCTGGAGCCCTGGCAGTGCCCAAGGCCAGGCTGGACACTGGGGACAGTGGGAGGTGTCCCTGCCATGGCAGGGCTGGCACTGGATGAGCTTTAAATTCCCTCCCACCCAAATGCAGATTTCATTATTCCTGCTCTGATTCCCTCTGCCTTCCCCTGTGGTTTGAGTTCCATCCCCTCAGGACTCACTCCCTGTGTCCAGGTTCCTTCCAGAGCCATCCCTGGAGGGGATCCCTGTGCAAACCCGGCTGGGAATGGTCCCAGTGCCAGAGGGCAGGGCGGGGTGGGATCCTGGCAATGAGGAATTGTTCCCTGGCAGGGTGGGCAGGGCTGGCATGGAATTCCATCCCTGCATCCCTGGCAGTGCCCAAGGCCAGGTTGGACAGTGGGGACAGTGGGAGGTGTCCCTGCCATGGCAGGGGTGGAACAAGATGTTTAAATTCCCTCCAACCCAAACACTCAGTGATTCTGTAATTGAAATATTTCAGTTTGTGCAGCAAAGCCAAGGTGCAGGGAGAGCCCACAGTGGCTGGGGGAGTTTGGCATCCAAACCAACTGTTGGGAGGAGCCACTTGTAAACACCCCCTGATCTGCTGCTGAAAGCAAGACAAATTCCTGGTCCTGACACAAATTCCAGGGTGCCTGTGTTACCTCAGCTCTGGCTGCAGCCTCAGAGCAGCCTGAGGGCAGTGCAGAGAGAATTCACCTTGTCAGGCTCTGGGTGCCACCACTGGGCTGGGGCAGCACAGGAGAGACCAACCCTGCATGGAACCATCTGTGTCTGCAGATCTGGGGGCGCTCCAAGGGGTCCCCACAACTGAACTGTTGAAAGCGAAGGGAGACGACCCATCCTTGTTGATCAGCATCGAACTCCGATTTATTGATCTCACTTACACACTTTATAGTGGTGTTAATTAAACTCATGCATATTGCAAAATCCGAGCTCCTCATAGGCTACAGCTAAAACATGAATCCCTCCTTTTGTTTTCAATACCTGTGGTTTGTTATTGAAACCAAGATTTATTTTCTCACCCTGTTATGAAAGTTCTCAAGGCCTCCATGTTATTGAAGACAGGTTTGAGAACTTAGCTGTTTGCAGAAACAGGCTGTGAGAATTTGCTCCTCATAGCTGCCTTTTAAGCCATTTCTGAGCAAAATTCTCCAACACTGAACAAGGATTTCAATCCTTTGGGCTTTCAAAATTCAAAGGTTTGTTTCCCTTTTCACCCTTTTACCTTTTATTTTTCACTCCCTGAAGGTCAAGGCTGGGTTTAATGAGCAGACAAGGAGCTATGAAATTTGGACAAATTCCCAATGCAAAAAATACCAGGAAGTTTTGATCTGCTATGGACCTCATGACAACCAGAGGCTGCTGCTGGAATATGGATTTGTTGCCATGGACAACCCTCACAGCAGTGTTTATGTCTCAGCAGGTTGGATTCATGGATTCTCTGAGCATTGAAAGGCACAAAACCTGAGAACTGAGTGTGTGAATTCTCAAGGAGTGCAAAAGGGTTTGATACCTCTTTAATGATTTCATTTTTGCTTAATTTGAAATATTTTTTGTTACCACTTTATTTTTAAAAATTGTTATTATTAACAACATCTGTGTAGAGATTCCAGCTGGATGTCTTAGATTGCAGCACTGAGGATTGAAATCCAGATCTCCACAAACTGACCTTGCTTGCAGTGTTTCATAGCTTCAGGTGGAGTCAGGATTTCTGTTATAAGGTCACAGCCCTGGAGAGTGCTGATAGCTTTTGAGAATTCTGGAAAGTTCTCCAAAATTTAACAGGTTTTGGTCTTAGTCCTACATTAAAAATATGGTTGAAATCTCTTCTCAGAATTGATGATTGTGGTTTCTCATACATACAATTTATTTAAATATTTAAACTGTATTTTTCTGCAGATATTCTCCTCAAATATTTCTCACCACTGGACAAGCAGAGAAAGGCCAAAGTTTCCATTCTAAAGGATCATGGTTTCCTAGAGTAAGTATCTGGAGTTTTTTGTTTCCTGGTGAGATTTTAAATCAGTTTTTCTGGAAGTCAAATTTTGCTTCTAGGATCAAAATCCAGCAAAAAAAATAGAATTATTTGTTTTTTAACAAACTCACTGCTTGGGAGAGATGGAGAAGTTCTAAACCCCAGTGTCAAAGCTGGAGATCCACCATGGCTGATGTATCTCAGGAAGAAAACTCACTCCAAAGCTCCCCTGGATTGAAGTGAAGGGAGACGACCCAATCTGATTGATGAGCATCGACTCCGATTTATTGATCAAATCAGCCACCTTTTGTAACAGTGTTAATTAACTTCATGCATATTGCAAAATTCGAGCTCACCATAGGTCAGAGATTACACATCAACCCCTCCTTTTGTTTTCAATACCAAGATTTGTGTTCTCAAAACTTACTTTTACTTTCCCAAAACAGCCAAAGACAGAATGTTCACCTGTTATGAGAAAACTGCCTGAGAATCCTGGTGTGAAAGGTTCTCAAGGCCTTCATGTTTGTCACTTTTGCTTTCCCATACCTTATCCAAGGACAAGATATTTACTTGTTATTAAAAACAACCTGAGAACTTCTGCTGTTTACATAAACATGCCTGAGAACTCATGTTGTTTACAGAAACAGGCTGTGAGAATTTGCTCCTCACAGCTGCCTTTTACTTTTCCATCAGCTGTATATTTTCATGGCCTTTTTCCTTCAAGCCATGTCTGAGCAAAAATCTCCAACACCCCTGACCTTCCTCTCATCCCTTGGACTGTGCAGGAACCTGACCTTTGGCTGGGAGGGACCATCCTGGAGACTCCTCACAGCCCTCGAGGTGCTGAGTCTGGCAGCAGAGCAATTGTGAGTTGGAGCAGCCTCAGTATTGATTGGGGGGGTGTGCAGGAGCCTTTGGCTTGGATTGCCTGGAATCACCAGGGTGGGAAGGGACCCCCAGGATCACCCAGTGCCACCCCAGCCCCACCAGCACCACCCCAATCCCTGTCCCCAAGGCCACATCCAGACTGCTCTGGGACAATGCCAGGGACTCCAAACCTCCCTGGGCAGCTCAGCCCAAGGCCTGACCACTCTGCCAGGGACAAAAATGTCCCAGAGCTCTACAGAAAAACCTGAACAGAGACTCTCAAATGTTCCCATCTCACAGAGATCCAGGGGACAGCCAGGAAAAGATCCACCAAAGGAATTTGGGTGATGAGTTTTTGTTCATTTTCACTGGAACTGTTTTAAAAAACCTGAGCCTGCCCTGGTGCCATCTGAGGCCATTTCCTCTCCTCCTTTCCCTGCCCCTCCTGGCAGGAGCTGTGCAGAGCACTGAGCTCCCCCCTGAGCCTCCTTTGCTCCAGGCTGAGCATCAGAGAGCTGTGACCGATCCAACCTGCCCTGAAGGTGGAGTTTAGAAAGTGCTGGATCTTCTCAGAACCCCAGAATCAAGGCTGGGATTCCACAATTCCAGGGACTCCAAACCTCCCTGGGCAGCTCCTGCCAAGGCCTGACCACTCTGCCAGGGATTTTATTTTCCCAATATCCAATAGGAATGAAATTTGAGGCCGTTTCCTCTCCTCCTTTCCCTGCCCCTCCTGGCAGGAGCTGTGCAGAGCACTGAGGTCCCCCCTGAGCCTCCTTTGCTCCAGGATTTTGTTTCCAGCCCTTTCCCAGTTATTTTTGCCCTCTCTGGCCCAGCTCCAACCCCTCAATGTCATTTTTTGGGTGACCCTGCGCAAGCTGGGAGTGAATCCAACTCCCTGCCCTGCTCTGGCCCAGGTTTGCAGCCCTCCAGGGCAGAAGCTGAGTTTATTCCCACTGTTGCTCAGATTTCAGTTTCAATCTGAAAGGGAATTTAGACCAAGAGGGAAATCGAGCTTTTCTTTTTTTTCCCCCACAGTAAGATCCCAGCTCAGCCCAAGGCCTGACCACTCTGCCAGGGAAATTTTCTGTGCCAGTCTCCAACCTGAGCCTGCCCTGGTGCCATCTGAGGCCATTTCCTCTCCTTTCCCTGCCCCTCCTGTCAGGAGCTGTGCAGAGCACTGAGCTCCCCCCGATCCCCTTTTCTCCAGGCTGAGCCCCCCCAGCTCCCTCAGCTGCTCCCCCCAGGATTTGTTTCCCGGCCATTCAATATTTTCTGTTTCCCCTCACTCTTTATTCCCTGCTGGCTGTGAGTGCCACACTGGGACAATTTTTGGATTTCCTGTGTCTGATTTGTGGACCCCAGGTGAGAAATGAAAAGAAGAAAGGCAGAGAGCACCACTGGCTGTAAACTCCCTCCCCTTTTGCTGCTTTGGTGATTTTCCCTTTCTATTTCAAGCCCCAGATATTCCCTCAAGGTTCAGGCTCCTTTCAGGCCTTTTTCCTGTTGGTTTGATGAAATTTTAAATGCTTTTAACCTGGTTTGATTCCTTGAGTCATGTGTTCCACAGGCTGGAATTGCAGGGCCAGGGAAGCTGCTGAAATTCATCCCCAGGGACTCTCAGTGCGCTTGGAGCATTTATTCCAAATTCCAAATGGCAAATCTGCCTCAGACATCAGGGGTGGGAAATGATTACCTGCACTTTGCTTGGAATAAATGAAATGAGGGAATAAATTAATGAGCAAAGGCTTGCTCAGAGTTGTTTGTGCTTTGAAGATTCATTGCTGAGTGGAATAAATTGATCTGAGAACTAAAAATAAACCCCTGGGCTGGGTTGTGAGCCCAGGTGAGGGCCAGGGCAGCAGAGCCACGTGTGGCATCCAGCTGGGGAGGGCAGCAAATCATTCTGAATTCTCAATTCTCAATTCTTCAAGCATTTTGGTTGCAGTGCCTGCTGGAGGAGGATCCTGCTTGGTGGTGTCTCTTCAGCCAGCAATGAGCAGCAGGCTTTGGCTGCAGCAGCAAAAATTTGTCAGTTTTTAATAGAGGAGACCCAGCATGTCCTTGTCCAGGTAACCTGGGAAAAAAGGGAGCTCAGATTCCTTTCTCTAGCAGAACATTGGCATTTCTGAGTGAGATTTTGATGATTTTTCCCTTTCCCTCTTATTTTTTTTTTCCCTTTTACTATCAAAGTTTCTCTTGTGGAATTAAAAAACCCCACTATTTCACCATAATCAATAAAATCCTTACAGATTTCCACAGATTTGCTCATGTCCTGTTAAATAATCAAAATTTTGAATCATTTAATCCCATTTGTCTCAACTCCAGATTTCCCAGTTGAAAAAGGACAAAGAGAACCTCAAAACCCACCTGGCTCTGGTGGAAATGCTGCGCTCAGAAGACCTCAAGATCCTTCAAAAATCAGCTGAGATTCTTTGCAACCTGAATTTAGGAACAGCTTGAGCCCCCTGGAGCTGTGACAGCTGTAATTGCTCAGGGATTATTCCCAGATTATTTCTCTTTTAATGGACTTGAGCAGCGAAGAATAATTAAAAAATTAATCAGAATAATTTTGTTCTTTGCTGTCCTGCACACAAAAGGTTCTGCTGAAGTGGAGAGCTTGAGCTCCTTGGTTTGGAGAAAAGAGAATTTTTTTAAAGATAATTTCAGGGCAGGACCCTTATTTAAACTGCAGAAACTTCATTTGGAATTGGGATTCTCTTGTGATTATTTTCCATGATGTGATTTTAAAAAGTGTTTATTTTTATAAATACATTATTTCATATTTTACCAGACTTGTCTGTTTTATTTTTCTAAAATCCTTCCTGGAGCTGGAACTTCTTGAGGCCAATTCACTTCAGATTTGCCTAAATGATGTTTTTATGTCACTTGCCACCATATTTTACTCTCTAATCAGTCCCATTAAGCCCTGCCCAGTTTAGATTGGAAATCAGGAATTTTTTTTCATGGGAAGGGTGTAAAACATTGGAACAGGATACCCAGGGCAGAGTCCCCATCCCTGGGACTGGAATTGGGATTGGAATTGGGAATTGGGAATTGGGAATTGGGATTCTCTTGTGATTATTTTCCATGATGTGATTTTAAAAAGTGTTTATTTTTGTAAAGATATTTCATTTTCTACCAGACCTGTCTGGTTTATTTTTCTATAATCTTTCCTGGAGCTGGAACTCCATTTCTCACATCCCTGAGGCCAATTCACCTCCAGATTTGCCCAAATTATGTTTTTATGTCACTTGCCACCATATTTTACTCTCTAATCAGTCCCATTAAGCCCTGCCCAGTTTAGATTGGATACCAGGAATTTTTTTTTCATGGGAAGGGTGTAAAACATTGGAACAGGATACCCAGGGCAGAGTCCCCATCCCTGGGACTGCCCAAAACCGTGGATGTGGCACCTGAGGACTTGGTTTGATGGTGACCATGGGCTGATGGTTGGACTTGGAGCTTAAACTCTTCTCCAGCCTTAAGGATTTGGGATTTCCTGGCTCTGGGTGCCTCCTGAGGTTCCTCTGGGTTTGGGGGAATTCTCACCAGATTTTCTGCAGGTGCCCTGCCCCTGTGACTGTTTGACCTTCCTTTAATAAACCCCTTTTCATTCTCTACCACCAGCTGTGTTTCTAATTTTATCATTTTATCACAAAACGGTGCCAGAGCTAAAGGAGATAAGGCTGTTTGGCTGGTTTATTTATATATATTTTTTTTTTCTGAGGATGTTTATTTTAAGAACAGCTCCTGTACAGTGTGTCTGGCGAGGTGAATACGAGTTTGACAGAAGCTGATTTGCTTTTCTGGGGGCTCCACATTTATTCCAGGTGCTTTGGAAATGAGCTCTGCTCCTGGAACTCCCACACACCCTCCAGGGAGAGCAGGAAAGGGGGTCTGGAAGTGCAGCAAAGAAGGCAGAGCACAGCAATTTATGTGTATATATATAAATATAACTTAAATCTAAGCTTAAACTTTTTTAATTCAACCTAAACTATGTGCAATAAAGGGCTGAGAGCTGAGGTGCCTGAGGAAGCATCAGCCCTGGGAGTGCTCTCTACCTGTTTTACAGAATAAATCAAATTTTCAGAGTGAAAATTCTCCCTCTCAGCCTCTACTTTGAGCTGCAAACAGCATCTCAGTGATGTGCTGATACCATTTCACTCTGGCTCTCTGTTCACTGAAAGAGGATTGAGCTGGGATCTTACTGTGGGGGAAAAAAGAGAAAAGCTCGATTTCCCTCATGTTCCAAATTCCCTTTCAGATTGAAACTGAAATCTGAGCAACAGTGGGAATAAACTCAGCTTCTGCCCTGGAGGGCTGCAAACCTGGGCCAGAGCAGGGCAGGGAGTTGGATTCACTCCCAGCTTGCGCAGGGTCACCCAAAAAATGACATTGAGGGGTTGGAGCTGGGCCAGAGAGGGCAAAAATAACTGGGAAAGGGCTGGAAACAAAATCCTGGAGGAAACAGCTGAACTGGGGGGCTCAGCCTGGAGCAAAGGCTCAGGGGCACCTCAGTGCTCTGCACAGCTCCTGCCAGGAGGGGCAGGGAAAGGAGGAGAGGGAACGGCCTCAAATTTCATTCCTATTGGATATTGGGAAAATAAAATCCCTGGCAGAGTGGTCAGGCCTTGGGCTGAGCTGCCCAGGGAGGTTTGGAGTCCCTGGCATTGTCCCAGAGCAGTCTGGATGTGGCCTTGGGGACAGGGATTGGGGTGGTGCTGGTGGGGCTGGGGTGGCACTGGGTGATCCTGGGGGTCCCTTCCCACCCTGGTGATTCCAGGCAATCCAAGCCAAAGGCTCCTGCACACCCCCCCAATCAATACTGAGGCTGCTCCAACTCACAATTGCTCTGCTGCCAGACTCAGCACCTCGAGGGCTGTGAGGAGTCTCCAGGATGGTCCCTCCCAGCCAAAGGTCAGGTTCCTGCACAGTCCAAGGGATGAGAGGAAGGTCAGGGGAGCTTTGGAGCTGGATGTGCCCTTGGGGACAGGGACAGGGATTGGGGTGATGCTGGTGGGGCTGGGGTGGCACTGGGTGATCCTGGAGGGCTTTTCCCACCTTGGTGATCCTGGGATTCAAGGAGAGCTGAAGTGGGAAGGCACTCAAAGACAAACTGGGTTTGTTTAGGTAATAAGAGCCACCAGATTTCATGTGTAAAGAGCACGAGGCAAAAATAGCACAGTCGATTTTTTTTTATTTTTTTAAGAGAGGTGTTGGTTTAGTGCAGTCACTGAAGTCACTGAAAAATTACAAACATGAAACCTCCTGACAAAATCTCTGCTGTGTCAGTTATGTCAATAAAACCTGGATTTCCTTTGATCTCCTGCAGAAAGTGGCTCCCAGTTGAGAGTTTTCTCCTGTAATGTGTGCAGCTCATCCATCACTGCCGAGTGCCCTCAGGCCTGTCTGGTTTGGGACAAGATAAGGGAGTATCAACTTCACAGCCTGATAATTAAAGCTTTTAAATAAGCTATGAAAACACTGCCAATGACATTTCCAAAAGAAAGAGCTTTTTAAAATGATCTTGTCCAAAAGTGCTACACTTGGGCAGAATTCGTAATGTTTGTTTGCAGTCAGTGATTCAAGTGATGGATTTAATATTCTCTGGAACACAGGAAAATATCCCAAAAAAACTTTATGGGTTTCTTTAAACAGTAGCAGGGTCAGGTGGCTGCCCCTGGATCCCTGGGAGTGTCCAAAGCCAGGCTGGGTGCGATTTGGAGTAACCTGGCAGGGGGTGAAATAATTTGTAATGTCCCTCCCAACCCAAACCATTCCAGAAATGGAAAGAAAAAAATTCCATTTCCAGCTCATTTCACTGCATGTTGTAGTGGATATCTATAATCCCAGAATTCAGGTTTAGGAAGCGCTGCACTGAAGTGTATTCAGGGGAAAAGCAAAGATAATTAATGCCAAATCAATGGTATAAAATGTAAAACCGATGCAATCTCTGTGCTGTCCACTAGATGATGCAGCTGTAGCGCAGAGAAACAGGGAGTTACAGTAAATCCACATCCAATTATGATCCTATTTACTGGATTACATTTATAACAGAAAAAAGCATTGTCTCCAGTGACGTGCCATAACTGTATTTAGATAAATAGTTCAAATGTCATTTTCTTCGTGCTCTGAAAGTGAAACACGAAGGTTTGTAGTCTTTTATCTTCTCAGTTTTATTGGGATTTAACTTTGTTGTGCAGGTTTCCTCATGGCATTCCTCTTGGAACTGTCACTCAAGACAGTTCAAATCATTGCCTGGATGATCTTGAAGGTCTCTTCCAGCCCTGGTGGTTTCAAGAACTCCACTTTGATGGATTAATGAGTGGGATTACACTGGAGAAATGTCTGTTCCTGTGTTTTATTCCTTCAGAATGAGGGGCCTGACGGATCTCTGGCACAGATCCTTCTCAACAATGTCCTTGGATGGAGCAGACTGAAACATTTCCTCTGACTGGGGGGATTTTGGAGGAGGGAAACTTCAGGGTGACCTCACTGTGGCCTTGCAGGACCTGAAGGAAACAGGGAGAGAGACAATTTCCAAGGGATGGAGGAACAGGACACAGGGAATGGCTCCCAGTGCCAGAGGGCAGGGCTGGATGGAATTTTCATGGGAGGTTTCAGTCACCCAGACTTAAAGAGATCAATAATGATTCAATGAAGTTGTTCCATGGCGCTGGGAGGGAAAATTACCCATGAAATAGGAAATAATGGGATTAAACGTTCACCTGTTGAGACTCCTGGAGCATCATTTGAGGAAATCAGGGAGGATGATTGGCATGGAACCCTTGATGGATGGAGGGATTTGGAAGCAGGATGGGCAGAGGGATGGAGCAGCTCTGCTGGCAGGAAAGGCTGGCACAGCTGGCATTGCTCACCTGCACAGGAGAAGCTTTGGGCTGAGCTCAGGGTGGCCTTGCAGGGCCTGGAGGAGCCCCAGGAAAGCTGGAGAGAGACAATGGCCAGGGGATGCAGGGACAGCACACAGGGAATGGCTGCCAGTGCCAGAGGGCAGGGCTGGGTGGGATCTTGGCAATGAGGAATTGTTCCCTGGCAGGGTGGGCAGGGCTGGGATGGAATTCCATCCCTGCATCCCTGGCAGTGCCCAAGGCCAGGCTGGACACTGGGGACAGTGGGAGGTGTCCCTGCCATGGCAGGGGTGGCACTGGGGGGGCTTTGGGGTCCCTCCCAGCCCAAAGCATCCCATGGTGCTGGAGGAATCACAGCATCCCTGGCAGACATTCCAAGGCTCTGGATGTGCCCCTTTAGGGCTCCCTCCTGCTGGGGCTGCTCTGGCAGGGCCGGCTGGGCCCCTGTGACCCCGGGCAGGCAGCGAGGGGGGGACAAGGGACACTCAGCAGGGGCTGGTGCCACTCAAGGCTGTACCAGCCTGCCCGGGCTGGCTCCCAGAGCTTGTCCGGAATAAACCAACAAGGAATTGTGTGGGAAATGGATTTATAGAAAATTTTTAAAGTTTAATAGAAGATTTATATAGTGTGTGACAAAATAAGTTTATTACAATAAGTATAGTGTGTTACAACAGAAGTTTATATCAATTTATTTTAAGTTTATACACTTAATAAAATGTAATGTCATATAATGTAATATAATGTAATATAATGTAATATAATGTAATATAATGTGATATAATGTGATATAATATAATATAATGTAATGTAATGTAATATAATATAATATAATATAATATAATATAATATAATGTGATGTAATGTGATATAATGTGATATAATGTGATATAATATAATATAATATAATATAATATATAATTAGAATATAATATAACATTAAAT